TTTAGCTGCTACGTTCTTTCGCTTGATTTCCACCACAGCAGCCACTGCCATGGCAATGACTGAAAGAATTAGTCCAATCCCAATTCTCTGTAGATGAGTGATCCCCATTTCAGTTTTGGTTATTTTTCTTGCGAATGGAATGATTGCATGGTTATAAACCGGGGCAAGGATCATGATGAAGAGGACAGGGAAGACAGGGAGAGAAGCCGGTGGAACCTTAAAGGAACCGAGCTGAGTATTCATGGTGGCTGCTTGTTGCACTGAGAATGTGGAGAGTTGAGCTAGGCAGCAGTTTAGCATTATGGTAGACATAAGGATAGGGAGAATTTTTAACACTATCTTCACCTCTTCGACTTGCTTTACAGTACATTTTAGCATTGGATGGACTGGTCTAATAGTCACTGCTCTGTTAAGGAACTTGAGGCTCTCAGATGGAGTTTGACTTGTCATATTTTCTTCTCTCTCACTAGGGTTATTTGTATAAGATGGGGTTATGGCCATGTTGGTGACAGCATTGCTAGGATTTCTAGCTTTGCAGGCATTGCAAATTGCTGCAGTCATAACCTGCTGGACACAATTCACAAATAAAGGAGGTGAGTTTTGTTTACGCAGGTTCAGTCTATGCAAATTTAAATTGTTCTATGTTAATAATGATTTTACCTTAAACATAGTTGTAATTGGACTTCCTGCAGGAATTTTGGTCCTGTATTTAGGAGAGCCTAGGAGGAAGAGTGGGATGGAGGTCAGTATTGTTGCAGTGGAAATCCCAAAGCCCCATTGCCAGCCTTTATTGTCTTCAATCCATACCACAAACGTGACTGCAACAAGAGCCCCACAAGAGAGACAGAAGACATAGTAGTTAAAGAATGCAGATCTCTGCTTCCGGCCTTGTTGGGTTGTCTCATCAAACTGCTCAGCCCCGTGTGGGGGAAGAGAACCTTTTATTCCTCCAACTCCAAGTGCCACCAGATAGAGGCCTGCAAATAAAATCACTGTTTTCCCACCATGAACTTCCTGGCATGGACTGTTGGTGCTCACTGAAAGGCAGGTTGGTGGCCTTAGTGATGGCATGTGAGCTTGGATTGTGAGAATCAGTAACCCCTGCTTCATCAGTCTAAATTAGTAATGTGGCAATAGTGGTCATTGTATTTGTCAGAGCTTAAATTGTAAAATGAATTGTTTAGGGATGTTCACCACAAATTTATCTTGGCAGCCTTGGACCTTTTGGTTAATTTATGAGTCTTCTCTTTGATTAACCAATTAATCAAATGGTCATTAGCTCTTGTCATATTAAGTGAACTTTATCAGGTTAATTAATGTTAGAAAACTAACTTTGTTTTTTTTGTTTTCCAACATTAATTAGATGTAACATTATTTGACTGGATTTATTATGTCCCTACAGAGATATTTCAATGAGTCCCATAGCCAACTAGGCTTTTTCTTGGAGAAGTACTCTTGCTGCCAGTCTCTGACAGCACTCTGCAAGTTAAAAATGAAACTATCTTACTCATGGGAAACTTCATATTTCAAGTGCAAATTCTGAGGAAGGCTTAGTTGGAAACTGTCAAAAACCGATTTCATGAAGTAAACTGACGGGGAAAAGAACTAGAATCTGAATGTTTGTTTGAAACTCACCATGAATTCTATTGCAGCACTTATCAAATAGATGCAATAGGTGGTGAAGTAAGCATCAGCTAGAAAGCCACCAAGGAGAGCAAGGAGGAAGGCGGTGCCCATGAAATTGGTTACAATGTTGGCAGAAGTGGATGGGGAAAAATGCATGAATTTAGACAGGTATAGCACAAGGTTGCTTGCATTGGCCAGGAAAGCCAGGTTCTCCAGTATCTCCACCACTAATGTTTTCAACAGAAAAAGGTTAGAGATGTTCATGTCATATTTTCTATTTATAATGCAACACATCTAAAGAAGTTTATAATATAAAAAATGCAAAAAGTACTAGAAAATGTGCTTGCAGGGATCTAAGGCTTACTAACCTAAGACAAAGGAAGCAGCAAGCATGCCACCATGACAGCCTCTTATGGCAGGTCTGTTCCTCCAATCTACATAGCCTTCCCATATGTCCGAATGGTGTGCTTCATCCTACAATGATATCCAAAATAAAATCAAACGATAGCGGTACATAGAGCAAGGACACCAACATATAGTGCGAAATCTTGACTTTGAAACTTACCATCTTCTTTTAGAGCTTCTAGACTCTTTTCTGGGAAAGGAAAGGGGGGAAGGCTGCACAGGTTGGACAGATGTCGGTAGTTTTTGTTACTTCAGTTTGGAAGTGATAAATGGAGGCATATTTATATACTGAGAAAGGCTAGTATAGAGAGAAACATCTAGACTCCACGAAAATGACTATTCATTCTCCCTGACCTTTTAACCTCAAAAAAATGGTTTTCTACCCCTTAAATTGGAAGAGGGGGGGTGGGTTATTTTGGATGTCTTAATCATAGAGAAACATGTGTTTCATGTAAAATGGGAGCCAAATATACTCCCACAGTCCCACTACTAATACAATATTGGTCTTCTAATTTGTTCTAAAATTGACATCAACATTCTGTTGTTGCTTTTCAATTAACCCGGGTTACCAGAAATGTATATATACTAATCACATTCCTCACAACCATTAGAATAAATTTTTAGTGTTTTGAAGCTCAGTATGCAGGTGTAAGAGTAAGAGCTGATGTTAGAAAGGCTGATCTGAGATATATGAACAGCAAATTGAGAATCAAATGTGGAGGTAAGTGATTGCCTGACCAAACCATGCACTCTGTTCTTGTCAATTTATGCAATGAGTACAAACTAAAAGCAAGTGGGGTGGACAAAATTAATGAGGGTCTTAATCTTATGATGTTGGTTTTGAATAAAAGGTTAGAATGTAGCTTTCAGGCATGCCCCCAAGCCACAGCCACATCCAAAACCACTCACCCTAATCTCTAAGGATCTATAAATGCTAAATCTTCTTACTTCTTTGCACTATCTCAGTATTGTCTTATTGATCTGACTTAATTTTCCAAGGAAAAAATTTGCTTTATTTAACAGAATTTAACAGGGACCTTTAGGCCTGAGCACGGATCGGTTCGGAACTGTAGAAGGCTCTTTCGTTAACCAAACCAAAGACTTTGGTAAACCATTTTCTCTTCCATTAACCAAACCAAAGACTTCGGTAGACTTCGGATCGATTAATCTAATATTCGGTTCGGATTGGTTCGGTACGCTGGTATAACTATAATAAAAATATACTTCGGTAGACTTCGGATCGATTAATCTAATATTCGGTTCGGATTGGTTCGGTACGCTGGTATAACTATAATAAAAAATATACTAATAAAAATTCAATTTATAATACTTTCACATAACATAAGTCCTTGAACAAATACACCAAATTATCCTTGTAAAATATAAAAATCCAATAGTCTAATTCATCCAAGTATGAAATCAAATAACTTAGTCACTATATCATTCAATATATACTCAAGATGTAATGGGAGCCACTTGTGTTTGTTGTTTGAACATTTGAGTGTTATTTTTACTGAATTCTCTACATTTATGTAAATGATGTTGACATTTGTTCTGCGTAAGGTTCTTTAGTTTTTCATGCTAAATCCAACCATATAAAGAAAATAAAATTTGGATTAACGGTCGGAAAGTTACAGGTAAAAAAGGGGACAAAGGTCGAAACTAGAAAACATAGGAAATTCATAAATTCATCTCTGACTAAAAAGTGCTACAATACCCGAGTGATAAAGAAGTGATAGAATGTGATAAAGCAGTGATACAATGGTGATAAAGAAGTGATACAACATTGATAAAGGAGTGATACAAAGTGCTGATTGTATTTATCTTTAGTTTCTTGTTTTGTATTTAAATAATAGAATAAGTATAAATATCGGATCGGTACGAGTTTCCGTCGGGTTAGAAATATTGTTCTATTAACCAAACCAAATATCTCGGTACGGATCGGATCGGAATAATTAAAATTAAAAAATAATTATTTAACCAAACCAAACCAAACTGTCTGTACGGTACGGTCGGTACGCGGATAATTCGGATGAGATGCCCATCTCTAGGGACCTTTATCCAAATGTTTAGGGTTGGCTACAAGAATGCATATCATGTCCATTTATTTTG